CCCCACCCCCCGCCCAGCTGTCTGATCACAGGGACCGTGCTTAGTCTGTGTTTGCGTTCCTCTCATCACAAAGGTTCATTTCTCTACGTACCCATGACAGTGAGGTAGAGAACACTCAGTTCCACGAGAAGGTTCATCTTCCACAGCGGTCTGCTCAGGCTATAGAGTGTGTAGCAGAAACCTCTGGAGTACGTGTGTGACCAGTGTGGTCTAACTCGCTGCCCTGTCTGGGAACTGGAGTGCAGAGCTGAGGGGTGGGGTGTACCATTGCTTGTCTTTCTGTCTTCGGCCTCATCTTCTCTTCCCAGCTTTATCTTGCTCGAGACAAACAAGCCACATCTCCAGAGCTTGCCTTTCCTCACTGTTTTCCTTGAATTTCAGTGTTCTCATGAATAGTCTTAAATAGAAGATTTGTATAGATATGGATGATTTTCCAATTAAAAGGTCACTTTTTCTCTGGGTATCATTTCCCTGAATTTTCGTTAGAATCATTTTTTTTTGTTTTCTCTCTCTCTCTCTCTCTCTCTCTCTCTCTCTCTCTGTGTGTGTGTGTGTGTGTGTGTGTGTGTGTGTGTGTTCGTGTACATGCTAATAGGAGTCTCATACTAAGGCTGCTGGCCTAGGCAAAGGGAACAATGACTGCCTTCTTCTGACTTTTCTTTTCTCCTTTACCAACTGTAAGCTTTACAAATTGAGTTAAATTCACAACGTTGACCTTTCAATACAGGGTGAGAGGAATTAAAAGCAAAAAAGGAAAAACAGCCATCAGTGTGTGTTGTTTCTGTAGCAAGATCTTCTGGTGGGGAGACAGATTCCAGGCCACGGTGCTTTTCCTTTCAGATTAGGTGGGTCAGAGGCAGGAGACTGTTGAGTAACTCTGTGGTCAGTCATTCTGGAACCTACTTCCAGAAACTCCAGACCAAAAGGCATAGCTGTGAGCCAAAACGAAACTCGATCTCACTCTCACTGGCTGGAGCCTCCAAGGTCTTCTCCTGGGTGGATTCTGAGCGAGTCTCCATATTTGTCCAGTTGGTCCTGTCTGCTACAGAGCATGTTCTCAGTTATTCTTCTTAGGAAGTTTAATAACCCTGCCAGCTGCTCCTAATACCAGCCACCTGTGACAAACATCTCTACCATAAGTCTACAGCTGCACTCTTTTTCCCAGACTTCTGCCCCAGCCCAGAAAACTGTGCAAAGGACACAGCTCTAGGCTGCAGGAAGATGAATGAAAAAAAAAAAATAGAAAATAGTGGATTGTCTCTCAAGTCTATCCTACTGGCTTCAGACACTCAGTAATCGGTGTGTGTGTGTGTGTGTGTGTGTGTGTGTGTGTGTGTTTCTAAAAGCAAGATGATCTTTGTAATCAAAGGCATCCCTGAAACTTAATCTTGCTGGACTCTCCTAGAATTAATCCAAAAAGCACCCTGCTCTCTTTCTTTACCTTTCTTTCGCTTCTGGAGATAATCTCATTCCTGGAGGGAAAAAAAAATGTTGTTCCTCTGCAGTTAGGAAAACGGTCAATGGATTTTTAAAACAATTTCAAATAATTTTTAAGAAAGCGTTTTAACTGGTTAACCTCTGCTCGTGTCCCCAAGTCATCACGTGGCTGCCTTCCAGAAGCAACAGTCTGAAGAACTGTCATGGCTCACAATCTGTTCTCATTCCTGACCTCAACTCCAGCCGATCCCTTGCCTGACTTCATGTAGCCCAGTTTCGTTTCTTTTAGATTCAGAGTCTGCAGACATCTGTGGCCCCTTAGCCTTGTATACTTGGATACCTCACAGGCCTTTTAATGGGATAAGAGCAATAGAGGAAACATGGGGAAGAAAAACAAAATCCTGAAGATGTTTTCGCTCCTGGTACTTGTGGGCAGTTTGCTGTATCCATTACAGCAGTTCCCTGGGGACCATGCTGAGCACAAGTGAGACGTCTTAGGTACCTTCTTGTGCCACTTGGTCCCATCCTGGATATGGTCATTCAAGCTCTGTCGGCACACCCTGCACCTGTCTCTCCTCCCAAGATCAAGCAAGGGTACCACCACCCCTCTTTAGGTGCTGTCTCTTCTCTGGTCCCCTGCTTCTTCTGGCTTTTCCCCTCCCTGACCCCTGTTCCTCGGCCACCCTGTCACCAGTTTAATCAGATCGCGTCAAGACAGTAACATCAGCTTATGAAACTAGAAACTGCATGTTCCACTCAGGAGCCTGCCGGCTCACCGAAAGCCAAAGCCGCACTCCTCTGAGAATCTTCCCACCTCAGCCTCTTTGTAGTTCTGCTTCTCCCATCCCTCTCCTCCTTGCTGTGCTCCAGCAATTGGCCTCTTCCCTCGGGGAGGCATCCTAGGCATGCCTGCCTCTGGGCCTCACCTTTGCTAAGAGTCACTAGTTATGGCTTTGAACTCTTTCCCCACACACAGCTGGCATGGCTGCTCCCTCCCTTCCTTCAGTTATTCCCTGAAATGTCAACTTCAGAGAGGGCCTCCCCAGAGGGCCTCAGTTCTATCCCATGATACAGCTGTCCCCTTTCTCTGGTCCACGTTCTGGTTGGCTCTTGACGTAGCATCACCAGCTCTGCGGGTTTCTCTCTTGTCTCTTGTCTCCATTCTCCACTGGGCAGGCATGAAAAAGAATAGCCAAGGTGAGGACAATTGTCCCCAGTGTCTCCAAGAGAGTCTTGCATGCCATGGGCTGTCCCTGCTCTGTATGAAGGAATGGCTAGATGAGTGTAAACTGAGACAGGATGCGGGACAAAGCAAGCCCTGGTGACCTTCAGACTCCAGAGAATTGCTGAGAAGTCTGGGCGGAAATCTCTCTTTCCCATCAAGCTCAGAAAAGGTGTCTAGTTGACAGTTTGGCCTCATAAGAGTCCTCCTGGGCATTAATCCCAGAGGCTTCCCACCCAGCCGCACTGCTAGAGACAAGCGTGATTTCCTGGATCTGCAGCTGGCCTCGCCGCTCGGCACGAAAAGCATGTGTCTCTGGCATTTTAGCTTTGAGGAAAACCAAAGAGGACAGAAGCGCCAACGTCGAGAGTTGGGAGAGTTTTTTATGTCTATCAGCCAGGCATTCAATGAGGCCTTTCATTTGTTTCAATAAGTTGATGGGACGCCACTCAATTTTGCTCTTGTTCTGCTTTCTCCTGGTAATGACGGCTTGAAATGGAAGACCATAACTGTGTAGTGGTGTGGGAAGCAAACAGCCTGGGACTGCCAGATGACAGCTGTGTCAGTTGCTTTCCCACGGCAGACACAGAATACCTGACAGAAGCAACTTAACAGAGCAAGGGTCTGTCTGGGCTCACAGTCTAGAAACACTGCCGGTCTCAGCTCTATGTAAGAAGCGGGTCTGTGGTTCAACCTGTGGCAACCAGGATAACCACCATCAGGGAACGGAGAGAAAAGAACATTGGTGCTCAGCTCTGTTTCTCAGGTTTATCCGGTTTAAGGCCTCAACCATCAGTTATATTCAGGGTAGGTCTTCTCTCCTCAGATAAACCTTCTCAGAAACCTGCCCTCACAGACGCGCGTGCAAAGGTGTCTATCCTACGTGATTCTAAATCCTCGTTAGTGATCAAGGTCGGCCATGGTCACGGCCCACCACTTTGGTTGGTAAGGCCGCTCACTGCTGTGGCATCTGTGCTAGGGTGGAGGGAACCAGCCATTGTGGATACTCTACTGTTGTTTGCAGTTTCTGATGGCACTGGTGGGCTGTCATGGCTACCTGCCGACTCTTAAGAGCGAGGTTTGCTTTGGCCAGATTTTTGTTGGGTGGAGGGAGCCGGGTCTAGCCTGTCACTTCCTGGTGAAACTGCATTTACAATAGTCACGCATGCTAATCACTCCCAAATCTGGATATATTTCAGGATGTTTTGACAGTTTCCCCCACATAACATCTGTACTTAAAGAAGCCTCTCTGCTCTTGGTAAAGTATTGGCTTGATTACTCCGCTCACATCCGGGGCCCTGCATGGTTCTTCTGCCCTGCTCTCCCCAGAGCTCCCAACCAGGCACCCCCACCTCCTACCCCCACAGGCCTGTCCTGTCCATCCTCCATGAGTTCGAGCTTCCCCAGCCATCCATCTCCGACCCAGTCGTGTGCACCATCTCTGACAACTTCCTCCACATCTCATACACCCAGGCTGCTCCCCTACTAAAACCCAGAGCCACGTGCTCTGACCCTCTGCCATGCTCCCAGCTGTCCTGTGCTGTCTCAATGTGTCTGTGTGCGTCACACGTTCAGAGTACGGTGCATGAGAAGTGTGTGGTCGGTGTGAATGGTTTCGAAATGTTTCTGGGAAGAACCTACCTCAGTGGTCAGCAGAGAGAGGGAACTCGAAGGCCCACGGCTGGAGGTCAGGAACTCCTTGCTTGAATCTCGGCAAGAAGTGGATGCCCAGGCACTGGCAAAGAAAGCCCATTTGGATATGACTATGACCCCTACCTGTATACAGCTCATGGGGTCTCCCCTAGGAAAGTTAAAGTAGGTGTAGGTAATGGTGGTTTATAAAGTAGCAGGGTCTGAACACAGAATGAAAGTCTTAAGAGAAAATATGGGTAGTTAAAAGAAGGCAATCCCATACAGAACTTGGGGGAATATTGCACCGGCTTCTTCTACGCTTCAATATTAGTCTTGCATGTCCACGCTGAGCTGAGCACCCTGGAGAAGGGCATGCAGCCAGCCACCCTACTCCCTTCATTCTGAAGGCCAGGTAGAATACGTTTTCACTCGCATTGCCTGTCAGAGAGGTCTGATGTGAGGTGTTTAGATAAAAGGTGACTTCGGGGTTCTTTCTTGACTTAACGAGATAAGGTAAAGAAACCTAGGTCCACAGGCCCTTCAGCGTGACGCCCGTGGCAAGGCCGAGGGGCCCAGCAGAGATGGGAACAAATATAGAAATGGTATTCCTAACAATCAGTGCCTTTAAGCTTCTGGTAGCTTCTCCAAGCTCTTTCCACCAATAGCCTGTGCTTGTAAAAACAGCCTTGGAGACCCCTGCTATTTGGTGTTGAGTCTGGCTCCAGACAAGGTATGTGGAACGGACGGCCTTTCTCGGATTTCTTTAATGTTCCAACAAAGATTAGCCCTGGCCTGGCACAAACACTTCACGTTGGCATCTCTAACAACCCTTCCCATGCTGTCTTTGGCCGGTGTCTCCCCCGAAAGATAACAGGGAAAGTATGCCTCTGGGGTTTATTTAATATACAACAAAGAAAAACAGACACAGCTAAGGTTGACCGGGGCCCCTACAGTCTTGGGTGACCTGGCCCCTCTCCCACCCCTGCCTCTCTCTTCTGATGCTGGACATGCCCAATTGCTCTACCATTGATTCCAGACCAATTTTAACCAGTCAAAATATGTTACTTTGTAGACCTGACTTGATAGACACCCAAGTGAAACAAACTGATAATTCTCCCTTAGGAACAAGCGATCATTTTTCTCTTAAAAAAAAATTGCACTTGCCATTCTATGTGCTAATGGACAAAAGGGCTGTGTGTTTTTGACTTTGTCTAATAAGCCCGTTTAGCCCAGTCATAATTTTTTTAATTAGAAATCAATACAATATGCATCCCAACCTTCCTCCTGCGCCCCTTCTCACTCTTGAAATTCTGAGGTTTAAAGTCCCATCCACCCAGGGCTTGGTCTCTGAGTGCTCCTGGTTTCTACCCCGGGAAGCTGCAAGAATTCCATTTCAATCCGACCCATTCTTTTCACAACTGAAATGGAGCCTGAGATCACTTGTAGACAACCCTCACCGCCAAGCCTGTGGAGACATCCTCCTCACATTGTCCACGATTATTTTTAAACCCACTCTGCAAAAATGAAACAAAACAAAACAAAACAATAACAGAGCCATGGAGACCGAACTTCTAGAAGCTGCTCTCCCCTATTTCTCTTCCCTGAGAGTGGCATTTTTAAATACGGGTTTATGTCAGACACTAAACAGTCCCCACACAAGAATGCCTATCTCCAAACCTCCTTGGAATCCTGCCCCAAACTGGAGATATTCTTAGCTGCGAGTCTCCTGCCTTGAACTAGGTAGAAAGAAAGGCTGGCGTCTAAAAGGAATAGATGGAATTCTCTAAATAGTTGCTTGATTTTTTTTTTTGAAATGTTCAAATATTTATACGCTATTTACTTTCTGGGTTTTTTTTTTTAACTCAGTGAGGTAGTTAATATTTTGTTATTAGTTAAATTTATCCTGGCTATAGTTCCCCCTTCCCACTCTCTTCCCATTTCCCACCCCTATCCATTCCTCCTCTGTTTCTGTTCGTGTTATTTGATTTTAATGGGAATGAGACCACAGAGGATGCTGGCATATTGCCAGTTAGGAAAGGGCATTTGGAAGGGGGCGTCACGGGCATCTCTGTCTATAGCCCCGTCTCTTTGACCATTGACTCTCAGCCTTTGCTGCAATTTGCCCGTTGGATGGCGAGACCTGAGGAGAGTACACACCACCCGGCACACACCAGGCTTCTCCCACGTTTGTATCTAATCAACGTAGTTGAAACAAAATCAAGTTAGTAGTTAGTATATGATCTTACTATTAACTGATTTCAGTCTAAAATAAGTTCTCTTAGCAGCTAGGTAAGAAAACAAGAGAAAAATATTCCGGGATTTTAACTCAATGGTTTATTTGAACATCTCTAATAGTGTTCTCAGTGCATATTACTCTTAAATCCCGAGGCAACATGTGTGCAGAATGTTGGCTCTTTTCCCAGTTCCCCCACAGATGTCAAGCATTTAGACACAGAAGCGACATGGCAGGACACTGATGCCTCTGGACCTGCACCGTATCATTGCCACGATGTTGCTGTCAGAAGACTCCATTGGTCCATCACCCCTCCCAGGTCCTGTCTGGGCTTGCTTGCACATCCTCCGGCTAGAAACTCCCATGTGTCCCGTGTCACGAGTGGTATCACAGTTGCCTTGGCAACCAAGCCAGCTCTGGTTTCCAAACCTCACTTGCTACATCATAAATTGAAACAGCAGGGTTGACACTTAGTTCCATGGCCGTCATAGAAATGAAGTTCTTGGAATGAGTCTCCTCACAGCTGCCTGCCTTGACAGGGAAACTGAAGGCACCCATCAGAACAAAAGCATGATACGTATTTCACATACGTGCACGCACATACGTGCGCACGCACGCACACACAAAGTAGTCCTCAACTTGGACAAGGGATGTATTTGCTTAATTCATTGTCTGAGATGCTGAGCCACACATATTATTCTCACCATGCCAAAATTCTGTGGTAGCTTTATCTTACGATCAGAACAGAGCTCATAGGACGCCATTACATACGCAATATAAACAGGATGATGAATGATAGAAAACTAAACTTGTGAGAAAAAAAAAGTAATATTCAAAGACTTCTTGGCTTTGCTGGATACCGTTATTTACACTGATTGGAAGTAAGACTTGATCACAGAATAGTCTAGTAACTAAATCAGAATCTCAAAGACAAGATACGCCTGCTTCTCACTTATGTATTCATGCATATTTTTACACAGATTATTTACATATTATTCTAGCCTCCAGGAACCTTTGGTAATACCTTCACATTGAGATGATTCTCACCATGCAGAACAACACGGTCACCTGCTTTGAGTCCTGGGTTTTCTTTTGCAATGTGAGAACATCTTAAACTCAGGAATTTTGCCTCTGTGCTGCTGCGGTCCGATGCGATTCTTTTTCCTGCAAATACAAGGAAAGACTCAACTTGAGAATTACATTTAAGGCGAGCACCCTGCTGCGCGCTGCATCAGAGGTGACTACCTTCAGAAATTCGGTGGCCGCCCGCTTATATTTGTTTCCATTGATATGTAGGAAGAAAAGCTCATTAATGATTTAAGAAGAGGTTTTTCTTTTTGATTCATAGACTTGCTTCTTCCCATTACGTAAACAATAAAGGCAATAAATTAACGCCTCATAAAATCACGAGTTTATTGCTGAGTTTATTTGCAAGAAAGTCTTGACTCCCCGAGCCTAAAGAGTCCTGCTCTCACTTCCCCTGCCTGGCTGTTCTAAAAAGGATCACTCGGCATATTTTAGCCTAGAAGGGAGGTTTGTTTTCCTGCTTGCCAGCTACCACCAAGCACCATATTTGAGCAACTGTATCATACAGCAATTCTTTGACTTCTAGAATGGTAAGTTATACTATAAAAATGGAAGCTCCCAATGTCAAATGTCAGCAGAAGCCTTCCCCTCCCCTTCTTTCCCGCTGTGTGTCACCTATAACATGGGAGGGGCCGAATCCCACGTCTCCTGACCGGCTGAGTCCTCCGCTGACCTCATCCTCTTGCTTTACACCTAGTTCTAAAAGGAATCCAAATTCCTGCCAAGTCAGGGTTTCTCTGTTTGGAAGCAGATAAGGGGACGTGCTTTGGATCTGTGTGCGTGAGCAAGAAGGGCCGACCTCCTTCTTTGTATTTGCTGACGCCCGTGCAGCAAATACTACCAACATCTCCACCGGCTGTTCGCTTTCTCTCATGGGGTCGGACATCTCCGCCTTTGTGTTTTATTCAGGGAGTCAAGGCGGGGGGGGGGGGGGGGGGGGGGGGGGGGGGGGGGGGGGGGGGGGGGGGGGGGGGGGGGGGGGGGGGGGGGGGGGATCTTGGTCATTTCCTTTTATCTTGCAACTATTTCTCACGAGCAGAAATAGTTCAGCATGTGGGAATTCCAGAACAGAACCCCTTTGGACAGCCATCTCTTGGGAAAGTCACTTCATGGGGAACCCCCCCCCCCCGGGCACATCCGCATTCCATGGCGAGGTGTGAAAATGAGCCACGAGGCCGGGGGCAGGGCTGGAATGTGGGGGCTTAGCAGGCTGTCTGCATGACTCATAGATGTGTTTCCTATCCAGCCCCTTTTTTTAAAAAAAAAATATTATTTCAACTGTGACGTGATGGTGTTAGAGAAGAGGGGGAGAGAGGGACCATAACGGAGGGCCAGGGAGTTGCAGGGGAAGGTGAGGCGAGCTTCATCTTGTGGTTGCCTTTCAGGTCTGATGTTGTGGTCCTCTGCTTTTCGATCGCGAACCCCAACTCCCTCAATCATGTGAAAACCATGTGGTATCAAGAAATCAAGCACTTTTGCCCTCGAACGCCTGTCGTCCTGGTCGGCTGCCAGCTTGACCTCCGCTATGCCGACCTGGAAGCTGTCAACCGGGCCAGACGCCCCTTAGCAAGGTAAGCCGAGGACCCCACCTGCAGCTGGTTCCTCAGTGAGGAAGCAGTTTACGGGCAGCTTAGATATTTCAGTGGTCACTGAGACTACACCTATCGGCCGGCCATAGACTTTTGCAAAGTTCGTCAGCCATGTTGTCATGAAGCGAGCGTCCTGATGTCTCCCCACGCTCACCAGGGTCACAATCAAAGGGCTGGCCAATGCTTGGGGGGAATTTCACCGTAAGAACTGGGACGTGTGGAAATGCTTTGGATGAAGGACTGTGTTTGAGTGAAGTCCTATACAAAATGTTAGCCACCCAGGACGGCATCGTTCTTGAAACCATGCCTGATCTAGAATAAAATAAACTAAGGCTCAGAATGATCAGCTGCAGTTGTTGGCCAGCAACCCATCCCAACAGAGATGGGCTTTCATTCCCACGGCCGCGCGTCTAGATTGGTGCTGGTGTTGTTGCTAGCGTTTTTTCTGGCTTCTGGTGTTTGGTGCAGTACTGTAGAGTGAGCCCAAGGCCTTCCACATTCTAGGCAGACCAGACATTCTACCGCTGAGCCATATCCCCGTTCCTCGTTTTACTTTTTATTTAGAGCCAGGCAAGGTCTCACTAAATTTCTAAAGCTGATCAGGAGGTTACTCTGTAGCACAGCTGGGTTTTGAACTTGTGACCCGCCTTCCTCGGCCTCCTGAGCGGCTAAGATTACAGGCCCAGACTGCTAGGACTGGGCCAGTGTCCGGTTTTTAAAACCCATGCACAGCTGTTGGCACACTCCCTTGTAATCCCAGCACTTGAAAAGCAGAGGCAGGAGGATCTCCATGAGTTTGAGGGCAACTTGTAGCAAGTTCAAGGCCAGCCAGAGCTGTACAGTGAGACCCTGGCTCAATAAACAAAACAAAAGCAAACACCTGGAAATCACATGGAGTCTTGCTTGCAAAAAAAGGAAACACAAGGAGTGGAGAGATGGCTCAGCAGCACCGGCTGCTCTTCCAAAGGTCCTGAGTTCAAGTCCCAGCAACCACATGCTGGCTCACAACTGTCTCTAGTGGGATCTGATGCCCCCTTCTGGCATTAAGTTGTCCATGCAGATAAAGCACACATATGCATAAAATAAATACCTAAAATCTTTTTTAAAAAGAAAGCAAACAAGACATCTTAGATGTGTCTAATCCTTATGTTAACAAAGTATCAAAACTTTTTTTTAATTAGGGTGTTTTTTAGTACATGCACGGTGTGGATACCAGTTTCAGAAAGAAATGAGAATTTTTAAAAAACCTGTGCTCTCAGAAGTTATTCTTGTATAAAACAATTTTGTCTGTTTCACACCCATATTCTCTGCTGAAGAACAAAATTCCCCCAAAGCTCTGATAGCAATGCCTTGCTTCAATATTTACCTAGCTGGCTTACACAAGACTTCTCCGGTCCCCCCTTTTTATGTTATTGCAGTGACGATATAAGAGGAGACAGTTTGTGGTGCTCCCCATACATCCTGGAGGAAACTGTTGAGAGCATCTCCTGTTCCGTCTCCACAGTCCCTCTGTTCCTACATGCCTAGACTAGAAATGGAATGTTCAGAATCACCTGGGGGTGGGGGTGGGTGGCTGAGTGGAGAGGGTGGCAGAACAGGCCAACAGCAGATAGGACCATCCCTTACGTAGAGCGACTTGGAGTGTTTATGAAGTAGGGCATTAGAGCTGAACTTTGGGTTAATCAATTAGCAAATTTCAAGTCAGCCCCAAGGACAAAGATCATACAAGGCCCAAGGGAAGAGGCTTAAAGTCGAACCTTTTTCCCTGGATCTTTCCATCCTTGTCAGCACCCTGAGGTGTGACCTCCCTCCCTCTCTCCCTTTCTCCCCCCCTCCTTCTCTCCCTCTCTCTTTCTCTTCCTCCCTCCCTCCCTCCCTCCCTCCCTCCCTCCCTTCCTCCCTCCAGGTCTTCAGATCCAAATTCCATCCAGTTTTATCATTGTTCTCCTGGACCAGGGCCTGGGAAGCGTATGACTTTTGGTGTCAGAGGCAAAGTATTTAAGATCAACTTCTAGGAGCATTTTTTTTTTCAGAATCCACTGTGTGTTTCTTGAAGACTTGTAGCAAATCGCATCTTGTCGGTTCTGGAATCTTTCCCTGGCTATGTCACAAGCCCAGCACTGCACTGCTTATATTGGCCTTCCTGGGTTTGATTAAATTGTAAATGAGTTTTGTGTGCCAGACCAAAAGGGTGTGGGCTTTGTTCCACCAGCTTTGTAAAAACAGGAGAAACTGACACAGAGTTGCAGGCTCGGCCTTACCCATGCGATTTTAGTGCTTTTTTTTTTTTTCAGTGATGGAACTCTGAGCTTCAAGTGCGAGTTCTGAAGAGAGGCTGCCTTAGTCAGAGCCGTTGCTGTCAAGAGACACCATGGCCACAGCAACTCTGATAAAGAACACATTTTTTAAAAATATTTTTTATGGTTTATTTAACTTTATTTTATGTGCATTGGTGTGAAGGTGTCAGATCCCCTGCAACTGGATCTTCAGACAGTTGTGAGCTGCCATGTGGGTGCTGGGAATTGAACCCGGGTCCTCTGGAAGAGCAGTCAGTGCTCTTAACCACTGAGCCATTTCTCCAGCCCCTAAAGAACACATTTAATTGGGGTGATTTGCTTGCAATTTTCAGAGGTTCAGTCCATTATCGTCATGGCAGAGAGTTTGATGGTGTTCAGGGAGCATGGTGGCGTGCAGGCAGATGTGGTGTTGCCGACATCTTGGCTTGCAGGGAACAGGAAGGCGACTCAGATGCGGAGAGGTATCCCAAGCATAGGAAACCTAGAAGCCCGCCCCCACAGTGACACACTTCCTCCAACAAGGCCACACCCACTCCAACGAAACCACACCTCCTAACAGTGCCGCTCCCTATGAGATTATGGGGGGCCAATTACCTTCAAAGTACCACAGAGGCCAACTAAGAGACTAGTGTACCAGCCCAAAGAAAAGATCCGTGAGGGCCTGATGGAAAGAGGGGGGGGACTACATGAAAGAGGATTCCTGGATCCAATAGTAGGTTCTAGACGCACCGGCGCCGTTGTCAGACCGATTGAGCTTCCTGCCTCTGTTTCTTCTTGCCCCAGGGTGAGAGCAGAACTTTAGAGAACTCTCAGACGGTGTAAGCGGATACATTATGAAGTTCTAAAACTGAAACACTGCAGCGGAGATGATCATGGCAGCAATACCTTTTATCAAGCACCAAGAACAATGCTAGGCATTTTTATTATCTCATTTAAACCTTTGCTTTAAGGGCCCGTGCTCTCCAAAGATGGAAAACTAAGGCTTCAAGAGGTTAAACATCTTGCTCAAGACCACATAGATAGCAAAGGCCAATCCTTTTGTTATCTCAGTTACTGCTAACACCATAAGCTTTTTCTGCAGTAATAAATCCTTTATCTTGGAGTATCCATTGACTATGAGTTTTTGGGACCCTTACAGAATTTTAAATGTAAAAATTTAAGAAGCGAATGGGTTAATTGTCTGATTCAACTAGGAATCTAGAAATTTAGACACTATGCACCTCTTCCTTTTTTTCCTTTTAAAAAAAAAGGTTGATTAAATGCGTTTTCTCTTAATTCTCTTATTTCAGGCCCATAAAGAGAGGTGATATTTTACCCCCAGAGAAAGGCCGAGAGGTGGCGAAGGAACTCGGCATCCCTTACTACGAGACCAGCGTGTTTGACCAGTTTGGCATCAAGGACGTGTTCGACAACGCCATCCGCGCAGCCCTCATCTCCCGCCGGCACCTGCAGTTCTGGAAATCCCACTTGAAAAAAGTCCAGAAGCCTCTGCTTCAGGCGCCCTTCCTACCTCCGAAAGCCCCTCCCCCGGTCATCAAGGTCCCTGAGTGTCCGTCCACGGGGACCAGCGATGCCGCCTGTTTACTGGACAACCCTCTGTGCGCCGACGTCCTCTTCCTTCTCCAGGGTCAGGAGCACATCTTCGCGCACCGCATTTACCTCGCTACCTCTTCTTCCAAATTCTACGACCTTTTTGTAATGGAGTGTGAGGAATCCCCTGGCTGGGGTGGAGGAGCTGGCGAAGAGGGGCCATGCAGGGATTGTCAGGGGCGGGTGCAAAGCATGAGCCCAGCCGAGGAAGGGGGAAAAAGTCCCCAGAGGACCCCTCCGGCTGGCCCAGGGGCCTCTTCAGGCCAGGACCTGTTGGAGAGTCTGACTTTGCAGACCGAAGCCTCGGGTTCTGAGGCACAGGCCCTGTCCGGCTGGAGCAAGGGGTTTGTCAGCATGCACAGGGAGATGCGGGTCAACCCCATTTCGAAGCGGGTAGGCCCAGTGACCGTGGTCAGGCTGGACTCGTCGATGCAGTCAGGGCCTTTCCGGACCCTGCTGCGATTCCTCTACACGGGGCAGCTAGATGAGAAGGAGAAAGATTTGCTGGGACTGGCTCAGATGGCCGAGATCCTGGAGATGTTCGACCTGAGGATGATGGTGGAGAATATCATGAACAAGGAAGCCTTTATGAACCAGGAGATCACGAAAGCCTTCCACTTCAGGAAAGCCAACCGGATCAAAGAGTGTCTCAGCAAGGGCACCTTCTCAGGTGAGCCATCGAGGCCTTTGTGCCAGGTGGGGGTGGGGGTCATAAATGCTAGCTAGACAGCATGAGACCGAATAAAGTTAACAGAATAAAGATAATTAACAAAGTTAACCCTGATCAGGCCGAAGAGGTAGTCCTTCTACCTTACAGATGTTGAGAAGCAAGGGCCCCCGAGAGGCCAGGTCACTTTGTCAGCTAAGTGGCAGCAGGGAGGACAAGAACCCAAGCCTTGCCACGACAGAGACCTAGTCCCTCAACCTCCAGCACTCAGGGTAGATCAGGTGACTCTTAGCCTCTCTCCAGGGGCTTGACACTTGAACTTCCTGGCTCAGGGATCTGTTCTCTGACCAGTGCCCATGGTTTCATTCTTCTCCATTGTCCCTGCAACATTGATCTCTGGTCATAAGGTCACTGAAGCCCCGGGGGAAATTACCACCGCCATCACCACTACCACCACCACCCCCGCAACTCCCCTGGTCTGTGCCCCTGTACTCCGGAGTCCTGATCTTTCTTCTTTCATCTTGACAAACTAATGACACACACAGCCGTTGGCGTCCTTCCAAGAGCAAACTCCCTAGAGACTGCATCCGGTCTGTTTTACTGGCCTTTGCTTTGTTCTGTCTGTGGTACATGTATACTATTTTTATTCTAGAATCTTTGTCTCGGGACGTGGGTGTGGGGGGGAGTGGAAGCGGACTTCACTGCACAAGTTGACTTCCTGAGCTCTGTTTACCGGGCTACCTCTATTTTCGTCTCTGTCTCCCATAATCCCTGCCACGGCACTACGCATTCACGTTCCGTGACCCGACACTGAGTCACTCTATTCATTTTAAAGCAAGGAGTGGGTAACATTTACTACAAACATTGGTTGCCATGGTGCGGAAGCAGCTCTGTGCGCGTTACTGAAAAGAATGTGTTGCAAATATGCGCTCCATTAACTGGTAGGCATGAAAGCTGACTAAATCCCTCTCTAACTGCCCAGGTGAGCCAAGCAAAAATGGGGGTCCACGTGGGACTCCTTTACGAAAGAGAGGCCCTGGCATCTTCAGGGGTGACTGAGACATCTGAGGTAGATAATGGGTGACATTGGGACATTGTTCCATTTTCTTAGCTGCAACCAGCTAAGATGTGTTCTTAAGAATTTCATGATAAAGAAATTGGAAATGAAGTGTTAGTACACACACACACACACACAGACACACACATATATGTGTGTGTGTGTGTGTNATATGTGTTTTGCCTACAAGTGCATGTGTGTGTGTGTGTGTGTGTGTGTGTAGTATATGGAGAGAGAGAAAGAGAGAGAGAGAGAGAGAGGAAGGGAGGATAGGTATGTAGGGCACTTGAGGTTAAACAGTAACAAGCAATAGATGAACCAATCTTGTATGTGCTGAACATCCATCCCCAGAACCTGGAAAATCCAAGACCCAAAATGCTCCAATTTCCAACTTTTTGAGTGTCAGCGTGTGAAAACTTCATGCCTGTCTTGACAGGACAGAATTAAAGTAACAACATTTATCCCAGTCACTGGTCACGGTGGTCCTGAAGCAATCGTGAATTTTAGTTCATTTGAAAGGTTATCTTACAAAGGTACAGCAACTTCAACAATGAACCATGTTGATTGAAATCACTTACAGGCTGTGTATACAAGGTATCTGAAACATCTATGAATTTCATGTTTAAAATTCACCTTTCAGCACCAGGATCGTCATTATGTATGTGTAAATGTGTCAACCTCTGTGCAAATCCCAACTCTAAAACACAAAAAGATCACCCTCTCCTTTCTGCTACTTCCTGACCCTGAGAATTCGTCAGGGTTGATTCTGTGGGCAATTTTTCAAGGTACCCTCCTTGATGTTGGAGCTGGATGTTTAGGAAGTACGGATTGGAGCAGGATCTGTAGACCTGGGAGTCGCGAGCAAGAGATACAGTTTGATGGATATATACGGAGAAGAAGGCTGGGGTGAAACCCCTCGCAAAAGTGGTTCACAGCTTTGTTTCCTCGATCCTTGGCAGATGTGACGTTTACCTTGGATGATGGAGCCATCCGTGCCCACAAGCCACTATTGATCTGTAGCTGCGAGTGGATGGCCGCCATGTTCGGGGGGTCCTTTGTGGAAAGCGCCAACAGTGAGGTACGTGCCTCGGAAGCCCAGAATGTGGAAGCAGCCAGAAGCTTCCCTTCTAACAGCTCCGCGAAATAGTCCCTCAGGCTGTGCTTCAGGGTGAAGTCATACTTGCTGTGTGGGGAGCAGGAGGCTGTTGGTCAGTATAGAGTGAGATCAGGAGGTGCTTCGGATGCAGGCTCACACTTGAGGAGTCATGACTGGCCATACTTCCTTTACAAACATCAACAAGACAGCCAGGTACCATCAAAATCAAGTACAAGAGCCTGTCTTCTGTGGGGGAAGTAAAAAGATCCTCAGTCAATGGAGAGCCAGCACTGTCCTTAATCAGACAGGAGACCTTGCCCTACCCAGTCGCTAGGCTGGGGGAAATGCCATTGGAGGCTCAGCCCCAATTTTCCCACCTTGCTGGGGGGAGGAGGCTAAGAAAATGAGAGGTGGTTGAATGCTCGCTGCTCTGGAACGCTTTTCAAAGAGTGTGGGTCCAGCAGAAGCAGAAGGGTCCTACCCTACGGAAGAAAAGACTTAGAATGTCTTAGGCAGTGTCTCAAAGATGCTGTCTTTATCTTCGTACAAAATCGCCGGGGGAAAAAAAAGAAAATCCATTCAAGTATTTCTAACTAAGTATAGGTGGAGCAAGCACTTCTGTTGAGTTTTGCAATATTTCCTTAACATCTTTTTTTTCTCCTTTTTCTAAAAAATAACACGGGGACACCCCATCAAGTTTACTGTCCTTGGGGGCTAGCGTTGCTTAGCTCAGCATCTCTCCCAACTGTCAAAAGAAATACTGAAAACAAAGGGTAACTTTTCCAAAGGGGTGCTCCCAGGGTGCAGCGGAGCTCTCCCACGGTGCCCCGGGAGTCTGCATCGCATCTCCAAGTAGGGAAACAGAATCCTAGAATCACAAGCCAGGAATGGCTGGGACTGAGAAGGTCATTGGGCCATCCCCCTGCTTCCAGAAAGAAACACAGCTGCTGCCTAACCAGACCCCAGAAACAATCCCTGCCCTTTGGGGTGGGGGGAAGACTTTAGAATTATCCCAGCGGTCTCTTCTGGCATCCTGAGGAAATCAGGAAGTTCTTTGATTTGCTAAGTCTCCCTCCAGTGTGCTCAAAGGGATTGAGAGTTTAAAGGGAGGCTTCTCCGTGCTAGGGAGCTACACAGAAAAGCCACCCCTCCTCGCCCCGCCCCCGCAATCCAAAACATAACTCTTCACCCCCAGGCTGGATGGCCTGGAACAAGTGACTTCTGCCTTCCGAGTCTCCCTCAGTAAAAAAGTCAGTCATGACCCGGATGTAGTCGTAAGGTGTGAGCGTCTGTATCTATGAAGTAATTCCTGAGTCCAGCCTAGCCACCACAGATTGGTTGATGGGGATGCGGATGGGAGTCTTGCCCTCTAACAATAACGATCGGGGTAGTTCCCCCTCCATATGCCCTCCCACGGTTGGCCTTTTCTGGTGTGTGTCCCTATCTGTCCAGCCCCACCACGCCCGCTGTTGGTGTCTTTACGTGAGAGGAGCCTATGATCAAGGTCAGGACCCCCAGCTCAGAGCAACAGTGTCAGCCCTGACCCAAGGGACGCTAATCCCCTTTATCCCTTCACAGAAGGGACCTCTAATCTCTCCAGATTAACATGTGCAGCAGAGGTAACCAAAAACAAAACCTAGCCGTGCATGGGTGAGCACACACACCTTATGTGGCGATGACTGGCCCGCGGGATGTGGCCACTGGTTCAACGGGGTTCTGAAAGGAACCTGGGTCCTAGCCCTCCCCTCCTCTCTGAGGACTGAAGCTAAAACTAATGCGGGCAGAGATTGCAGCCACTGGGGATTTTAAAAAAAAAAGAAAGAAAGAAAGAAAGAAAGAAAGAAAGAAAGAAAGAAAGAAAGAAAGAAAAGAAAAAAAAAAGACCATTAACCAAATCACCAAAATTTCATGAGCTCTAGCAATGCCATCCACTGGTGACATAACCACTTCCTGTCCCTTCTCTCTGTTTCTAAGAGAGACCGTAAGAGGTGCTCCTGAACTTTTATCTCAGTGTGGTTGTGACCTGAGGCCAGTGGCCAGCCTTCTCTTAAATCTGCTTCCTCGGCTACTAAATGAGAATGACAGGTGAACGTTCTTGCGAGGGCGAACTAAGCATAGACAGGTGTGTGCCGTGCCTGGAGCAGATAGGTAATACCCAGCAAACGGTGTCACCCCATTAAATTCTCTCGTCCCATAACAACTCTAGATTAAGAAACTGACAGCCCCTGGGTGGTGGTGGTACACACCCATGCAATCCCAGCATTTGGGTTGCAGAAGTGGGCAGATCTCTGAGTTCAAGATCAGCCTGGTCTACATAGCAAGTTCCAGGACAGCCAGGGCTACACAGAGAAACCGCATTTTGAAAAAGGAAGGAAGGAAGGAAGGAAGGAAGGAAGGAAGGAAGGAAGGAAGGAAGGAAGGAAGGAAGGAAGGAAGGAAGGAAGGAACACCAGAAGCAAATAAAGAAGCTGCGAGCCCGTTTTCTAATTTAAGACAGGGAGGTGGCAGCCGTCACAGATAGAAGTGAGCCTCGTGAAATGGTCACTAAATCCTCCCTCCAGGAAGAACTTTGCTCTTTCCTTATTCTTGGAATTAGCCTTTCTAGGTCATCTTTTTAAAGTTGTTAATTTTTTGTTGACCTTTTTGTGATTTATTTTTATTTTTTGTGTATGGGTGCTTTGCCTGCATGTGATGTCCAGCTGTGTCCAGTGCCCAAGGAGGTCAGCAGAGGACGTCAGGTCCCCTGGAACTGGACTTACAATTGGTGTCCTTTGCAAGAGCAGCCGGTTCTCTTGACCACCGATCGGTCTTTCTAGCCCTTCTCAGTCATCTTTCAAGTCTGTTTGGTCTTGGGGAACTCAGACGTAGCCCCTGAAATTCAGCCCTTATTTTTTCCAGGGTACAAAAAGGACCTCTACACACATATGTCTAGGAAAGAGGACAGTGAACCATGAACGTTAGATTAAATTTTACCATTTAATATAGAAGAGGACATTTCTATTTTGCCTTTTTTTTTCCCCTTCATTACTTTTTAAAGTACCAGTAGGTCTCGTTCCTTCCTACTGAGGTACTCAGCAAGCGGTTTACTTCAGATGCTTGCCAGGATATGGCCCGCAGTGGGCTAGCTCTAGAATACTCGCTCACCCTGTGTGAGACTGGCTCTAATTACAGGCCTAATGGTCCACGCTAATCTTCACAATGACCATGTTATACCAGCTAAAGAGGAATGCAGGCACTGGTGGTGGTGGTAGTGTTCTCCTCTTTGGGTCACTCCGAGTGTTTTCTGGGGTCGCTTTGAAGAAATAGGTTTTGCGGATGTCATGCTCCGTCTCTTGTGGCGCTCTGCCCTTGGATTATTGTTCTCAAGGGCTGCAAGTAGATCCCCCCCCCCCATTGTTAGATGGTGAACTATAAGCGTGGACATCACAGAAACAGGATTTGGGTTTTGTTTTGCTTTATAAAAAGCCATCAGCACTGAGAAGGAAATGCATATTATGAATGTGTTTTGTGTTTCTCCTCATGTGTCGATTACCCCTAAAGGGTCCCTAAGATGATCTGCCAAAATGAGTCATCCCTTCAAAGGTGTTGACGTCATCTTAGCGAAAGGGAAGCAGCTGGCCTCTGGCGATTACACACAGCAGAGCCCTTTGAGGACCTCTGGGAGCCTGGGCCGCGCTCACTCGACTCTCATCTCCTGTTCCCAGAAACCGCCCCTTGTCACATCTGTGTTTCTGATGCCCATTTTACCTTTGCTTGAGCAGACTGGCAAGCGCTCTAAGCACACAGAGCCAAGGGAATCTGAGCGGTTTCAAAACCCAGCCTCAGTGAAGAAGTAACATTGGCAAGCATTCTGCATTCTTCCTGAGTCACAGATGGGGAATCTGAGAGTCAGAGAGAGTGGGTGACTTACTGAGGGCCACACAGGACTGATTGGTGTGCCCCTGGGCTGTGTTTTGGCATACCTCTGGGCCAGCCCACACACTCTTTCCCTGTCCCCTAAAGACACCCTGCACACCTCCATTTCTGAAAGAGCAGATCCCCATAGCTGAGACAGCACACACTCTCTGCCCTGATGTCTGAGATCATCGTTCTTAACGTTTTATAAAACATGGGTGCTTTTACTATACAAATATGAAAGTTGTGCCCCTTAGCATTAAAGTACGCAAAAAGGGCCATCTACCTAAAAAATTTCCATGAGTCCAAACACCATTCTAGAGAAAAAAAAAATTTCACCATATTTTTACATACATAGAGGAGCCTATGGCTTCTGTCAGCTTATTGTTAGTACTATATAAACGCATATGCCCTTAAACATAGACGCGTGTGCAAGCAAACACGAAAGCATGCCCAAGGTCAGATGCACAGTGGAAGAAATTATTCCTGCGTGGCACAGCTAGGTGAAGGGAATGCGCAGCTCTGAGCCATCATTGGCATGTCACAGATGAGCCAGCGTGTGTTGTTACAGTCTGTCCTGGAAACCAGAGGGACAGGAGAGGTGGAGGAGCCAGCAGCGGCAAGCGACAGTCTTAGCTTGGGGCTATTTCAAGATCCTAATGTCAGTTTTGACTCCTCGCCTTCTGTCATCACAGAGGTTATACTGGGGACTGGAAACGATGGGCAGTAGTAACAAGCCAGGTGTTTATTTACCAAATCATCATTGCTTTTGATACCTGGGTCTGAGAGCAGGGGATAAGCCTGCTTAATATTTCTCCAAGCTTGTTCGGAGCCTTCCTCCATGACATGTGCGGAAATAACTCTACCTGGAAGTAGATTCTGCCTCCGATGTGGCCGGTGACTACCCAGGAGTATAACATCAAAAATGGCAATAGTTTTACTCTGGGAAGGTCGTCCATGAGCCCACGTAGAATGTGAAGGAAATACATGCATGCATGTTCAGGTGCATTTGCAACAGGCTCTCTTTATGTGTGTTTATACATGAGCGGCACAGATATAGTCATGTATCCATAAAGACGGAACCATACGTAATACATACATGCATACATAAAGATACACACACACACACACACACACACACACACATATATATATATGGGGAGGTGTATTTTTATATGCTGTCTTCTGTTTTGTTAAGCATCAGAGTAAGAAGTCTATAATGATTCATCCTTTCAAATTAGAACTGTAGTTCCCAGAACTACTTGTGAGAGCCAAGGCTTTATTGCTCTGCAACCCAACGCACTGGCATAAGGAGACCCCAGGCTACACAACTTCAGAATTGCGCTCCCTAGGTTTAAATCCCAGTCATGGCTGACTAACCCTGCAACCTTGGGCATGAAACTTAGCCTCCTTGACTGCCGTGTCCTTGTCCATAAAACAGCAAAATTAATAGTCTTTTCTTCCGAGGACAGATGTAAGAATCATATTAGATGGTGTGTCCAGAAAGCTGGGCATGGAATCTTCTATTAAAGCGACATTCCAGTCCAAAAAACAAAGGGCGTCATTCTGTACCCTGTCAGTCCCCACCCTGTAGAGTGTATGAGTTGGGGTTTTATTGCTGTGCTGAGACACCATGACCACAGTGCTTCTTATGGAGGAAAACATTTAATTGGGGGTAGCTGACGGTTCAGAGGTTCAGTCCATTATTGTCATGGCGGGAAGTATGGTGGTCCACAGGCAGACGTGCTGGAGAGATAGTTGAGAGTTTCACATCTTGATTGGCAGGCAGCAGGAAGAGCAGGTGAGCCACTAGGCAGACTTGAGCTTCTGAAGCCTCAGTGCCCACCCCCAGTGACACACTTCCTCCAAACGCTAACAAGGCCACACCTCCTAATAGTGCCACTCCTTATGAGCCCCTGGGAGCCCTTTTCATTCAAATCACCCCACGGAGTTAGTGAAGATCTGAAACACAATGTGTGACCCCACTGATTTGTGTCCCCCTCTTCCACACAGGACGGAGGCCTCAGGTCATTCCCTGGCCTCTTAGAAAGTATAAAGTGTTATAAACAAAAGCTCCAGACACATGGGACAAGAGGTTGTGGGCATCCTGAAGGGGATCATGCCCTGCATCCAACCCAAACCGTGTCTCCAGGTGTACCAGGCAGGAGTTCTTTGGCTACTCTACTCTGCAGAGACCCAGTGATATAGCTGTAGTTCTGGCCCGTGTGCTTGTGGAAGAGAATACTGAAATATAGACACCATGCTGACAGACACTGAGGGGCCATCAGAATGCAGTGTGTCCCTGTACCGCTAGTGTGGTCATGGCCACCTGAGAGAGGGGATCCGTCATGTCTGTAGCAGTCCAGTTAACAGCTCCTAGTACATGTCACATGCCGAAAGATTTCTCGCTCCACAACGGAGTATCTTCAGGTTCTTGGCAGGAAGGGCCCATAATGTCATAACACATTTACGACCCATTTGTCTGATTTGTAGGCCCAAATAGCCATTTAAAACATGCCACACCAGGCTCTGTCAGGTAGCAACGCTCTCTCTTGCACCTACAAATCAAACCGGTAGGTTTACAGCCATAAATACCAAAAGGCCCTCTCAGCACAGCCTTGGAGCCAATCGGGTCACGTGGTCTGGATGCTTATCAGCCCCTAGCATGCAGCAGGTGAGCAGTCCCTGGTTTCTGCAGGCGCACTGAACCTTCTGTACACTGTTGCAGGTGCATCTCCCCAGTATAAACAAGACGTCAATGCAGGCGGTATTGGAATACCTCTACACCAAGCAGTTGTCGCCCAACTTGGACCTGGACCCCCTGGAGTTAATTGCCTTGGCAAACAGATTTTGCCTGCCACACTTGGTTGCACTCGTAGGTAAGGCTGGTGACTTGGTGTCTGGTAGCCATGTTGATCAAAAAAAAAAAAAATAGCACTTAAACAAATACAAGATTGCCAAGGTTCAGACTCTAATTTCTATCTTTCGGAACTGAACAGTCCTGGGTGAGGGCGAGGGGCGGGGAGAAGCCAGCCCAGTCTATCAGTCAGCCTAATTTGATGCAAGGAGTATCTCCGAAACCACTCTCTGATAGGCCCCGTTAGTTTCTTTGGTTTTGTAAATGTACAAGGTGGGTACCTGGCTTTGGAGGCACACGCTGAATCTTATGTGGACCACAAAATTTGAAATCAAGCCAGCGGGTCAGCCTTATTCCATGGCACGGTGCTGCGCACAGGTGTAGCCTTTGAGGAAGGAACATTTAACGGAGAGGTAGAGAACAGAGGATCCGAAGTCATCTCCCCCAGGCTCCACACCCTGGTCCCTTTGCTTCCCGGCTAAGTGACTTGTCCTTTGTGAGACTGGAGCTCTGTGTCTCAGTCTTCTCTCGCTTAAAAATGGGTCCGTGAGCTGCCACCAAGCTGTGAGGATCAGGTGTGGCGAATACATGAAGTCCTTAGAACATGGGTTGGACCATGGGAAGCATGTGTTTGGTTTTAAGCAATGTTTCTTTTTTTCTATTATTATTATTATTACTATTATTATTATTATTATTATTTTCTGAGACAGGTTTCTCTGTGTATAGCCCTGGCAATCCTAGAACTCGCTCTGTAGACCAGGCTGGCCTTGAACTCACAGAGCACTGGCTGTCTCTGCCCCACCAAGTGCTGGGATTAAAGGCGTGTGCTACCACCACCTAGTTTTTTTTTTTTTTTCTTTTTCTTAAAGCTATTTTTGAAAATGCTCTGACACTGTCAAGTTCATTTCGGGAGGGGGAGAAAAGGCTTAACTTCAGAAGTCTTTTCTGTAACTTCTACATTTGTTCAGTGGGTAAGCTGAAACAGGTCTGGGTGGAATATATGCATTTAAATCCCTTATTTTAAAATGTTAAGCCTTGTGTGGCCTTCCCTAAAGGTGGGAGTTAGCAGTCCGGGTGCTTAGCCTGCTACTTGCCCGAGAACTAATTCCAGTGAAAGCAGAGACACACTGTCATTTACTGGCCTTCCTCGAGCCCTGGGAGAACTGTCTCTGCCCATGAGGCTTTCCACCAAAACTTTCCGAACAACTGAGTCATAAAATGAGCGAAGAACAAGCCAAACTGTGCACTATGTACTACACCCTCTAGCAATGACTTCCGTGACTTCTCTGCCCTCTGATACACAAATTACCTGGAAATAGAGTTCTCTTTTCTTCTTGCTTCTTCCCCAATTTAAAAGAAAGAATTTACGCCCAGGCATGATGGAGCACACCTTTCTTTAGTCCCAGCGCTCAGGAGGCAGGGGCAGGTGAATCTACTTGAGTTCAAGGCCAGAGTGGCCTACCAAGCAAGCTCCAGGACTGCCTGGGCTACCAAGAGAAAGCCTGTCTAGGAAAAAAAAAAAAAAGAAAGAAAGAAAAAGAAAAAAGAAAGAGAATAAGAAAAAAAAAAAAGTCATTTCCCCAATCTGCTAAAGCCGTAGATGCAAATGAGTATATGACCTTTCACCCATTAGTTTCGGGGAGCTGTAATGAGAATTCCCTTTTCAAAAACGTTGAGTTCCAAGCCCAGGTGACCATCCGCAGATTATACGCAAGTCCTTTGAAGATAAATTTGATTTCGTTTTTCATAGACCAAAGTCACTTGGAACCAAATCTGCTGAATCTGGTCTGTGTTCTCTATCAGTATAGTCGTGTTTTGACTTAAAGATTAAATCTGACACCGAGAACACGGGGCTGATTTCTACATGAAAGATTTTTTTTTTTTTTTTAAGTGACCCTCAGAAAGCTTGTGTGGGAACTCACTCCAGTCCTCTTGCATGACGTAATAAAATCCTGCTGGCACTGATCCGCACACCTTCCCAGCATGGCCCTTGGGTTGCCTACGGCATTCGGTGGACAGTCTGATTAAAATGTGGGTTGAGACCCCCTTGGCAAACCTCCACCTCCAAATATATTTCCTTTACAATTCATAACAGCAGCAGAATTACAGTCATGGGGAAACAACGAAAACAATTTCAGGGACGGGTCTATTGCAGTTCAACATGGCAGAGCAGGCAGGACAGCAGGGGTAGCCAGCCAGCCAGCTGGGCACGCTGCACCAGCAGCCCAGATACAGGGAGGGATGGTAGGGAATCTGTTTTTCTCATTTTCATTCAGTCTGGGCACTCAGCCCATAGGACGGCACTACCACACTCAGGGCGGGTCCTCCTCCCCAGACCTTCCCAAACCCATCCTGAGAGACACACCCAGGGGAGCGTTTCCATGGTGAGCCCAGATGCTGTCGAGGTGACAGTCACGATTAACCGTCACACTGGCTGTTACTTTGAGAGCCCAGACGACTTCTCGGGGGAAATTTAGCTCTAAATCGTTCTGTAAATCTGTCCAGCTGAGGAGGGCTGGATCAAAGGGAGCACCCACTTGTGCAAACAAGTGTGTGGCTCAAGACCACAGAGCCAGGTAGGAGGCGGGCATGCTTGGACAGGATAGACACACCTCAGACAGTGCGGGGTCAGTCCCAGGCTGCTGTAGCATGAAATTCCTGGTATCTCAGTGAATTATTAAAATTACATTAACATCAAGCTACAGTCTCTTAAGTACAAAACAGCATTACCGCTAAACAATGGAGAAACTTTAACCAAAATAAATAAAGATTGCTTTAAAAAGAAAAGAAAATAAAAATAAGCCAACCCACCCTCTCTCTTTGACTTTGCTGAAATATTGGAGTGTGATTTGGGATTGTAAGCAAAAAAAAAAAAAAAAAAAAAAAAAAACACCCTATTCCCTCTTCCTTAAGCTGAACAAAAACATCATACACCCAGGTTAGCCTGGGGCTGGAAACTACCCAAACAGAGGTGAGAAACAGTCACCCCAGCCTCAGAGCCACAATGTATACTCTAACAGCAGGAGCTGGGCACAGGGCAACAACAGACTCAGCCCTCTCCAACTGGAGTCTTATTACTTAGGACCAATGTTCTTCCCCATCTTTATATTCCAAGAGATGGAACTTGGGGTGACCTGTTTGTAACTATTGAGGCCAACATATATGCCTTCACATTTATGTTTTTCAGTGATGTTTCATGTAGTAGCCCAGGCTGGCCTCAAACTGCCTGTGTAGTTGAGGAAAACCTTTACTTTCTGATTTTCCTGCATCTCACAAACGACGGGATTACAGGTGTGGGCCACCACAGCTGGTCTACACAGTGCTGGGGATCAAATGCAAGTCTTCAGGCGTTCTAGGCAAGCGCTCTACCAAATCACCTCCATCATCAGTTTTTAATTCCCCAAGTAGACATGGTCCTCTATCATTCAGTCTTTGCTGTCCAAAGATAGCGAGCCTTGAAGATATACTCAAAGAGGACTGTGTCTGGACTTAGAGGATCCCATGACCATGCTAGACTTGAACCACACTGTCTAGTAGGAGCATCTGCCAGCAATGGATCTCTTCTGTGTCTGTACATTCCAAGAGGGTAGGCCTGTATGACTATTGAGTATTTAACAGGGCTGGTGTGGCCAATGAGCTAAGAATTAATTCTCCAAGTTGAAAGAGTCACATGTAGCCCGTGGTTCTCATCCCAGGTGGGGTCATGGAGGTCTACAGAATTCTGACTAGTCTAGAAGCGCAGAGGCCCTAGAGACATGGATGCCTGGGTTGGGTACTGATAAACCACCCGAGTCAGCCCGGGACTCATTTCCAGCATCTGCCCAGAACTGTGTCCACCATCTCCTCATTTCTCAAGTGGTCCTAGACCAGCCCCTCCAGGCCAAACGGTTTAACCCTGTCCTGCTCTCTCTTTCCCAGAGCAGCACGCCGTCCAGGAGCTCACAAAGGCTGCCATGAGTGGAGTGGGCATCGATGGTGAAGTGCTCTCTTACTTGGAATTGGCACAGGTAGGTCTGTGGGCCCTTATCTCCCATCCCTGGTGTGTGTCCCACAAGCCCACTTTAACACTGATAAAAACATACCACTGTCCCATCCATCTAAATACAGACGTCACCGAGGTGTGCTTTTACACTGGAAAGAGCAAAGAGTATTTAGAGTTTGGTCAGCATCCCGCCTGCCGGGCTGCCTTTGAAACAAGGACCCCAAGGACCCCTTCCTCCATACCAGTTTGCCCTCCTGAGGCAGTGGTTTCATATCTGAGAGAATCACTGGCTTAGGGGGAAATGGTGCCTCTCTTCCTTCCTTGAGTTCTTGGAGAAGTAGTTGGCCAAGACTGGTTTCTAGAACATTCCATAAAGCTCTGCAAGCCCCCCTGCCAATGAACGGTTCACTGAAGTTTCCCAGAGTTTTCTAAGATCAGTTTTGTTAGTATCGGTGTCCATGAGCCCCACACAAACATCCATGTGTGCATGTAGTAGACACACACACCTCTTCCAGATCCAAGCAAAGGTCGGGTAAGATCTGACTAAAGGTTTAGGCACAAAGATAAACTCTGCCTCAGTTTCCTTCTCCATAAGACAGGAAGATGGCAACCCTTGACTTCCTAAGATTGATAATCAAGAGGAAAAGGGTGTTCAAGAAGAAGCCCTGAAGATGGAAGTTCTCTTCCACTGCAGAATATGCCGGCAGAATGATCTGGTTTCAGCATAAACTTAACAACAGTAGTTTACACTCTGGAGGCAGGGCATGAAAACTCAGTTCTAAACTTGTTTTTTGGTTTTTGTTTTTTTTTTTCCTTCTGCCTGTGGAGTTTGGCTTCCTTTGTTCTCTCTCAGTAAGGACAGTGCTAACCAAACCTTAGGTCAGGCAATTTAAGTGGCTGTTGCCCAATCACAGGAGAGGAGGTGACCTCAGGAAGAGGACAGTGGAACTATGGCAGGTGTTGCTCAGCCTGGCCAAGTGTGGCCACAGGCGATGGCTCAATTCACAGGGAGAAGGTACACGGGGACTGGGAACAGCCAGTTGCCTCGGACTTGAGTCCATTTGCCACAGAATTTCTGGCTGTGTGGTCCCCACGTCCTGGGAACGACCTCCAGTATATCAGAGCAGCAGATCCCCTACACTCACAGGGAAGTGAGAGCACAGACTCCTAAAAACCAGCTTGAAAATCCATCCGGTGAAGACCGGAAGCTGAGAGCAGGTGTGCAGTGCAGTAGAAGCTCCACGCCTCATCAGAACCAGCTGTCTAAAATTTGAGGTGTCCCCTAATGTGAGGGATAATTTATGACTGGGCTCTATCCATAAGTATCCTGCATAGAAGAAATTGTAATGGCCCAGAATGTTCTACTGGGCAATTCACTGGAAGTAAAAATGCGACCTTTTCCTGTCTTCCCATACACTCATGACAGGCTGTGGTGTGACTGCTACTAAGCCTTGGCAGACCCTGGCAGGAAGTTAGTATGACGTCTGTGTCTTAGCCTACCTGTTAACTTTCAAGCCAAAGAGAGTTTCACATACAGTGGAACCCTGATCTTTTGCCCTTGCAATTTCTGTGGTATAAATTCTCCCACTGTGGCCAGTCTGAACACCAAGACTCATTGATCTCAAATCGGGGGGAGCAAGTCATGCAACCAGTTCTCTGAGCTGTTGAAAGCCCCCCCCCCACTTTATGTTCAGAGATAAACTGAACATGAAGAAGAAGCTGGAAGGACCAGCCTCCAACCACCTCCATGACTGGGGTTGTGGGTTCGCGTCTCCCCAGAGTGGCTCTGAAAAGATGAGGAGCCAAGCCTCGGAAGAACCATGCTGTCGTTCCCTGGTTCCTTATTAGCCAGAGAGATGCATAGGCTGAGTGCAGAAGGGCAAGGGTGTCCTGCCGGGTCAGAGGAGACACAAGGAGTGGACCATCTGGTTTGGGGGCGTCAAGCCGTCACTTTGACCTCAACTGCCACCTCCCCAGGCATCTACCCAGAAAAGCTTCAGATCCTCCCACCTCACCCCCATGCCTGCTGTTACGTAACCAGAGGGCAGGTACAGGACAGCTGTGGCACTCTGCCTTCTTGCCTTTCGATCCTTGGCCCCAGCGAGCCGAGCTCTGACATGTGACACGGAGTATTCCATTGCCGAGTCTCCTTAAACAGAGATGGCATCGTTCTATCTGCCGCTGACTGGTACCTTCCAGAGGGCATGCATGGCCACCTATCACCAGAGGGCCAAGGGGGCAGGCAGGACAGGACAGCCAGGCATACTTGAAACTCTCAGTGTGATACGGCGTTTATTTTGGGGACCGTCTATCTCGGTAGGCAGTGAGGAAAGAAACATGAACACTATACTTGGCTGACATCAGAGCCACGGTCAAAGTCAGAACCCTGAGGGCGAAGCAAGAACTTATATTAGTTCTACAGGCTTTTTATATCTCTTCATTCCCTCCCCCGCCCTTACAATGGTTCGCATTTCTTTGTAGACTTGCTTTAAACTTTTGTATCGTTTTAGTGTGTGTGCGCGCGTGTGTGTGCGTGCGAGTGTGTGTGTGCGCATGTGTGTGCGTGCGTTGTGTGTGTGCGTGTGTGTGCCACAGCATGCACACCTGTGGAGGTCAGAGGAATTGCCCGGGTCAGGCCTCTCCTTCCTCCACAGAGTCCCAGAGATGAAATTCTGTTATCCAGCTTTGGCAATGCGTACCTTTACCTACTGAGCCATGCCACGGGCCCATTGCCTGGCTTCAGCAAACAGAGCCTGACCCCACTTCTGGTTCTTTTCCTGCAGTTTCACAATGCCAACCAGCTAGCCGCCTGGTGTTTACACCACATCTGCACCAACTACAACAGTGTCTGCTCCAAGTTCCGCAAGGAAATCAAATCTAAGTCGGCAGGTAAGGGTCAAGGGTATGCGTACGAGTTCCCTGCCATCTATCCGTTACCCTTTCCAAGCTCTCGGGAGGGACCACACTCAGCGGGCATTATGTGGTCAGTCCCCCTTGAGTGTGTGGTAGGTCACATATTCAAGTGACATGACCCAAAGAATTTTAGTTGTAAGAGGAGGGGGTTCTCTTTGCTGATTGTCTTTCTTGGAGAATAGAGGAGGGGCTGGAATTAGGGGTGCCCTATTACAGAGTCTGCTGAGGCAATTGGCCTCCCTTTGTTGATGGTTGGACAACCAACTCTGAAGAAAATCCAGTGGCTTGGGGACTCTATGCCTAGCACAGATTCTGTATCTCAGACCTTAATGTTGCCTTCTGCAGACAGCCCTGCTCATAGCTCCTGCCACACCAGGGTGTCTGTTGGGAGGCTTATGAGGGACGTGTGACTGGACTGAGCGTCCAAGACAGTCAGTGGGCAGCAGGAATCACCAACAGTATCTCTCCTCCCCTCCTTGCCCCCAGACAACCAGGCGTACTTTGAGAGGCACCGCTGGCCCCCCGTGTGGTACCTGAAGGAGGAAGACCACTACCAGCGTGTGAAGAGGGAGCGGGAGAAAGAGGACCTGGCGCTGAAGAAGCACTATTCAAGGAGAAAGTGGTTTTTCTGGCACTCGTCCCCAGCTGTGGCCTGAAGGGGACCAAGGGGATCGCCATCCACTCTGACCACCCCTACCATTGACAGCTCTACTGTAAAAACCAATCTCCTCAGCCGTTTGCGCAGTTAGGGTTTCGGGCACTGGCTTTTCCACTTGCGTGCGTTTCTCTCCATCAGGATCAAAGCACAAGCTCGCCATCCACGAGCCTGGACATAAAAGGAAGTTGACTAACTCACCGCATTCCTTCAGCCCATACCTGTCTTTTTTTTGTTGTTGTTGTTAGGAAGCTCAATACTCTTTAGTCCATTCATCATTTGTTCCTTTTTATACATACAAAGACAAAGCAAATCCAGCTTTCATACTTCAGATTCCGATTGGAAAGTATTTTTATATGGTCTCTTGTATTCAGTTAAAATGACAATACTGTGTATTACTTCACTTCAGAGGCCACACGTTGACCACGAAGTTGCCCCGTGATTCTCTCGGCCCCCGCATGACCACAGTCGAGCGTTGCTCATAATTACAGACTTATCCTCTTGTTGTGAGGTAAAGGGTTGGGCTGAGATCACCCCCCCCCACCGAAGTACAAGCTGGAAGTGCTTAATCTTTGTGCTGATGAACAACACCGGTATAATTACCTACTTACAAGATTTTTTTCTATTTAAGTGCTAGTAATTACATAGTTATCTGTGCCATATAAACGACAGTGAGGGCAAATATCTTATTGTTTAAGTTGTCTAGATTCAAGAGGATAATCCTCATAATCACTAGAAGGGCTCATTAAATCCCAGTACTATCAGGGGCAAGACCAGCTGGCGGACCTGGGTACCTACGACAGAGTTCAAGTGCCACTACCGTTGGATGCCCGTATCAGAGTCGGTGGCTCTCGGTGTTCTGGTATCTTAATGTGCTTCTCCTGGCACACTAAGTCCCGTAACCTGAACAGAGACGAGCAAAGCGGGGAAAGCTCGCCCCACTGTCTACCGGTCTGTCACCTCGGCCCTTCGCACCCGCGGCCAACTTCACTTTGTAAGACATGTATTTTTTTTTTTTTTAACTCTTCCCAGGGAAAATTCAGGTTACCACTAAAGTAGGCCAAGGCAGACCACCTGCTTCTACGGCAGTACCACGGAGCCTGTGAAAGCCCAGCGCTGGAGGCCGGGTCTTGCTTTCTCCAGCAGAGAAAGGAGCCAAATCCCAAGAGCCTAGGAAATGGTGCTATCGTGTGGTAGTTCTGACCCTGTGTCCTTTGGGAAGTTCAGTGTTAGAACCCAACGTGGGGAGCAGGGGAGCTCTCAAGAGGCATCAATATCATTGCCCCTTGGCAGATTAAAATGTTACAGTACACACACACACACACACACACACACACACACCATTAGAGAGTCATAGCACCTCACCTACCACGGGATGTTGCGTGCTGGACACTGGGTCTCATCCTGTTGGGAGGTCACCTTACTGACGCTAAGGGCTATTGATTTTTTTGTTTGTTTGTTTTTGTTTTCTAGGTTTTTTTTTTCTAAAGATGGAAAGGAGACAGTTGAGTCCAAACTCCAAATGCCATATGCATTTGAAAAATCTGTGTAGACCACAGGCAGATGATTGTTTCTGGCACGGCCACGTACCAGATTCAAGAGCTTAGAAAGGCCTGGGAATGCATCACCCTCTCGTGGCAGAGAGGGAGCAGTGGAAGAGGGAGGCTCATCAAGCCTTCCCCCTTAACTTTGTTAATAGGGCACACAGCTAATGGAAGGAAAGGGTATATAGAAAGAGAGGCTGTAGGTCAAGACTCGGGGAGAAATGGCATATGGCCACCTTAAAAATCCCCGAGGTTGTGTTTTCAGTGAGTAGTCCTAGTCAGATTTAACAACCAAAGCTCCATCTGATTGTACTCTTGCCAAAACCTAACAGACACATCCATGAACATGGGGCGTAAGCAATAATATCCACTCGTGTTCTTCACAGCTGCTGGAACCAAGTGGCTGGTTCATTTGGTTGGCACTGATTAGCCTTTAACCATGGTGGTTTGTTTCGTGTTTTTTATTTCACAAAAAAAAGCCAATAAAATTGTTTAGCTACAAAAAAAAGTCTCTGGTTCTGTATATTTTTTGTGTATTGTGTAAAATCCTCATGTGTCTTTGAATAGCTTTTTAAAAGGTATCAATGTGCTTCATCACCAGAGCTTGGATTGAACTAATGAAGCTTGGATGGCTGTCATTTTTGTTTAGTTATTTTTCAGGGAAGAGCCCATTGCCAACATATAGACGAGGTAAGTGCCACTTTGCTCTTTCTCGGACAATGCCATGTGTCACTTGGCATTGTGTGGCCTTGGGGGATGAAGATAATAACAACTTCGTTCTATTGCAATGGTTGAAATCAGAATTCGGAAAATGCCGGTAGCAAATAAAAAAAAGGTTTGGATTGGTAGGCCCTTGAGGAAGTTCTTCAGAAGCAAGTCTGAGGAAGCCTCTGGAAGGATCTATGACATCTAGATAAAAGGTTACCAAAGCTTCAAGGGAAGTAAGGTCTTTAAGGACCTCTCACAAAGTGGCTGAGCTCTTTGAAACTCTAGGGGAAAGAGTCAACCTTTATAAGAAATAGTCACAGGAGGCCAACGGTGAGGTGTGTCCACACCTTTCCTACCATTGCGAGGTCCCAACTGCGGCATGTTGCACATGGGCAGAGCAGGGCAGTCGAAACCTGCAGAGAATCCTGCTGAAAACTGTGCAGGGGTTTACATACACTAGATCTCAACTGCCCCCCTCCCCCAGAGAAGCATCTTGGCGCTCACAGATTCTACTGGCCTAGAAGGAGCTTAAACATTCTGTGAACACTCAAACGCAAAAAGCTCAATGAACCTAAAATTTCAAGTTTTACAAACTCAGTTTTCTGTCTCTGACATGGGCTAAATAGAAGGAATTATACCAGAGGGAAAGCCAGACAAATCCCAAGTTTAGGAATTTTCCTGGATGCTATGTTTCTGAAATAAATGCTTCTCGGTAACTCAAGACTCATAAACCTTTCCTTTGAATTACTTCTAGACTAGATACATATACAGACAGACAGACAGACAGACAGACAGACAGACAGATTCTGGTAGGCAAAAGGCAACAATTTCTTCTTTCTAAAATAATGTAACTGCTGCCTAAAAGTTATTGTTGAGGTAAAGGTTGGCCATGAAGAACATACATATACAGTGTGTGTCTTTGTTCCTTTCAGCAATCTATCACGAAGCAACACCACAAACCAAAAACAAAAATCTAAAGGGTCAGAAGCCATTGGCAAAAAGCACAGAAGCTGAGTTAAGCACCATAGGCCATGGATGTATTCTCTTCCAAAGTGCTAATTTATAAAGTGACCACATATCTCCAAACTTCACTGATTTCTTTTTAATGAAGACTTCAGTGTTTGTTGCTATAATCGGCTGTGGATGACAGAGTGGGCAACTTACAAAGAATGTGAGTTTATCTGACTCAGGGCTCTGGAGTCTGAGAAGTCCAGGAGTATCTGCCAGCATCTGCCAGCATGGAAGGAGAGTCGCCTGGCTGTGTCACAACACAGTAGAGAACACTGTGAGGCCAGACAGAGCCAACACACGTCAGTTCAGGACACTCTTCTTGCAAAGCCTCCAGTCTCTTCAGGGGGAAAACGCCACTTGCCGCAGCCATGTCCCTCCACGCTTGGTGCAGCTTCGGCCTTGATTAATGCAAGCTTTATCCTTCTCCCGTAGCCGAACACTCAATCTCTGCCCTTCAAACATGCAAGTGTCCTCCAATACCATATGTTTCATGCCATAACCATCTTGCCAATGTGTTCCATGACAAACCCCATCTGTCATCTGTTTGGATGATCTGCTTTGGGAACCCAGACACATGGCAATACCTGCGGTCCACCTTTGCTTCCAGCTGCCCCCTAATATTCTAAGCACTTCTATCCTGCTGGTTCCTGTTGGTCTCATTTCACGTACAAATTCACGCAAAACCAAGGTGTTAGATCTTGAGCATTATGGTAACAGTTTGCTTTCCCAGGCTCTTTCAATTTCATTGAAATGTTTCTTTGCCATACCCAACTGGGTGGACCAATGGCTGAACTCACCCCCATTCTCTTTCCTATTCCATTGGTGATGGGAATACTGGTCAATTCACACACACACACACACACACACACACACACACACTTCCCCTACCCTGATCCGCTCCTACAGTGAATGTTTACCCCCATTCCCCCCATGCCTTAGGATGAAAATCCAAGCAAGGATAAGAATTCCAAGTCCCTCTCCAGACATAACTAATCACAGCCTGCAGAGCAGATGGACCTGCATGGAAGTGCTGGCCTTGATGATGAAAGTCCTGGCCTCCCACTGCTCCAAGTCAACATGATTCAGCAGACGCTGACAGATTCTGACCGAGCCAGGCGACAGGCTGTCCTCTGGCCAGCAAGAGGAGAAACTAGGTTTAGCTTCCTGCCACCTGAGAAGCTTAACTAGGTTTTCCTGACAGTGCATATTATGAATTATGAGGATGAGTTATTTGGTCTTGTCTGGCCTTGCTTTTTTTTTTTTTTTTTTTTTTTTTTTTTTTTTTTTTTTTTTGGTAATCTAACCCTCATGAAAGACAAGAAACCAAGAAGACTACTTTCCCATAATCCCTTGGATACTGGTTTCCTGGCTTTGAAGGAGTCCCCAGTTTTTAATCCATTCACAAGACACACACGTATCAAAACATTATCTTGCACACCATACATCTGTGCAATTGCAACTTTTTTTTTTTTTTTTTTTACCAATTATACCACAGGGCTCAGGGGAAAATAAATAAATAAAACAAATAAACCTCTCAGGTCAATTTGAGGAACATCAAAATATAAGTCCTCAAACAGTTATCCCCCAGGCCCAAACATACATAAGACATCTAAAAAGGCACCTTTAGCTTTGCTCTAACCCGTGTAAAAATTTACCATAATGAATCGCATTAACCTAGGCAAATTTCTGCCACTCATTGTCTTGTAAGTCAATGACGGTTTCTGAAAATGTCCAGAGTAGTAATTTTAAGCCTCCCTTACCTTGCCACCCTCTCCCACACATAAACGGAACTAATCCAGAGGACCACAAGAAGCTAAAGCTTTGGGGTAAGCTTCAAAATTTGTGTTTTAGTGGGTCTGGGTGGCACACGCATGCAGGGGACCGGGGCTGCAAGATTATCAAGAGTTTGAAGCCAACTAACGGTATGTAGTGAGACCTCATTTCAGCAAGGGAGATAAAATTTAAATTGTACTTCTTTCTTCAGATAGTTTTATTAATTCTTTGGGAATCCCACACAGTATGTCTTTATCATTATTCTCCACCTCTCACCCCCCCCACTAACTCCTCCCAGATTAAAAAAAAATTGTTTCAATATCAGCCTATAGCTGCTGTTAACTGTCTCATTCTTATTTTAACTTGTTACCTCTAAAGAAATAAAGTAGCCATTGCTCAGGAGCTTATGACTAGAATCTTTATTCAGCTCCAGGTTTTCATAAATAGCAGAGAATTCTTCCAGTTGCTCGAACCCTGAGCAGGCAGCGGCTTGCAGCGTGAAGCATCTCTGTCGGGATAGGTTTTTCTGGTTTCCCTCAAATATTTTGATCAGGATAGGATAGTTGTTGATATAGGATAGTTGTGTTGATGAGGGCTTCCTGCAGTTGCCTGAAGGAGAGAAAAAAGGCAGCCGAGCGCCTTCTAGTGAAGAGCTATTTACTTTTTCTAAGTCTTAGTTTTTCCTGAGTGACAGGTACAGTGATGCTCTCAGTGTGTCACAGTCACCCATGGGAAGGCAGGCTTGGTCTAAAGATGGAATTCCCCTCACGATTCTCTGGGTATCATCCTTCAACTATATAGGTTCTTGATGCACGATTGTAATTAGTCTTAATGCTAAAAAAAATAAAAAATAAAAAAAAAACTGAAGTCAGTTGTCAGGGTAAAACCTGAAATATCAGAGAAGTAAAGGACCAGCCACAGTCACCTCCTCCATCTCCGACTCCTTGGCCCGAAAGGGCCGAGCTTCTGTCTACACCCCGGCTTATCACTTCCTTTGTCTGCCCAGCCACATCACTTGCCGTCTCTTGTCTGTCCAGACCTCCAGACCTCTATGGTTAACCAGTGGCTAGATTTCCAGACAAGCTTTATTTGTCAGAACACAAACAAAATATCACAACAGGTTCTTGGGCAGAAATGATTGAAAGAGAGAGATCCAGTCTTAAGAACATCAGAAAGGAACAAGCCTAGGAGAAGACAGATAAGAGAACATGCTTCCGCTGGGACTATCATGACCAGAAATCCACACAGGAGATCGGGGTCTTCTCGATCTCAGGCAGCTCCAGATCTCTTTTCTTCTACGTTAGATTCCCTAGTTTTCTAGCCTGCTCTCTGCCGCTGTGATAAAACAGGCTGACCGGAAGCAACTTGGGAGACGGAAAGGGCTTCTTTGACTCAAAGATTACAAGTCCACATTAGGAGAAACCAGGACCAGATCCTGAGGCAGAAACCTGGAGGCATGAACTGAATTGGCGACCACAGAGTTTTGTGGAATGTTATTTTCAGGTGTGTGACTTTTGTCTACGCTGCATTTGATTAACCGTGAAGCTGTGATTCTGTGCCTGTCTGAAACGCCTGATGGTTCTAGTAGAGCTGAGTGCCCAACAGCGAGGCAGGAGCAAGGATAGGTGGGGCTGGCAGCCAGAGAGGATAAGTACAAGGGAAAATCTGGGAGGAGAGAGAAAAAGGGCCAAAGAACAAAAAGAGGAGGACTCGGGGCCAGCCACCCAGGTACCCAGTAGTCATGGAGTAAGAGTGAAAGTCAGATTTACAGAAGGGAAAGATAAAAGCCCAGAGGCAAAAGGTAGACTGGATAATATAAGGAAAAACTGGCAAGAACAAGCCAAACTAAGGCCAGGCATTCATAACTAAGAATAAGTCTTCGTGTGTGATTTATTTGGGAGCTGGGTGGTAGGCCCCTCAAAAAGAGAAAGAGAGAGAGAGAGAGAGAGAGAGAGAGAGAGAGAGAGAGAGAGAGATCACGCAGCAATGGAAGAATGCTGCTTTCCTGC